TAAAATTGTCAAAGTTCATTGTATTGCATTTATGATTAAAATTTGATGAAGCATATTTTTAGAGAAAGATTGTAGCTTTTAACGAATTAAAAAATTGTCGTATTAATCATGATTATAACGAATATTGAATTTATAATAGAGAGAGAGAGGAGAATATACAAAATGTTTAATACACTTTGAAGTTTTCCGGAATTGAATGATTTCATCGTTCATTTCGTTGCACATTCGCACACTCGATGGGGGATGAAGCATCTTGAAGCTCGCGGTGCAACTACTTGAATTCAACGTCGTAACTACTCTTCGATCCCATTAAGAAGCAGAGACACCCCTAGAACCGACGACCACCCCTCCGGCCGCATCAACCCCTTCGGGAGCTTGCGCGTAACCGTTTAACGATCCGCGGCCATTTTGGCCACGATGGCGTCGCGTCGGCGTCGGCGTCGACGTCGCTCGTCACGTCACCCCCGTTTTCTGCGGCTTATCCGGAAACTGCGAAGAAACCCCTCGTTCTTATCAACCGTAACAGATGGCGGCGTCGGTTCTTATCCGGTTTTCCTTGAACGCCCGCGTTATTCTCCTTCCGATTAAGGGATGAAAAATTGCAACCCCTTCGATGCTTCGATAAAACATTCGATGTTTCAGTTTATGGGCTACGTTTATTCTGTTCAACTGCCTCGGACCTACCCTTTCTTTTGACTTGCGTACTTTTATTTACATTAGGCATTAGTTAATGAAAATAAAAAATAATAGATTCATGTAAATGTAATGATAGCTCGACTATAGATTTTCATGCTAAATAAAATACTTGCAGGAAGTGAAATCTAAATTTGTTCTGATAATATGCACCTCGCTTGTAATATTTTTTGGATGAATACATTATAATTTTTGCAGACACTAGTTTTCCATAAACACATAAAACCTGGAGTCTATAATTACTGATAACAAAATACGTAATGGCATAATATAAGAAGTAGCATAATCACTGGACGAAGGGTGACACGGCTTTTATCGATTTAATTGTCAGAGGGGCTTAATTGTAAGGGGATGAAGGGGGCGACCTTGAGGATCCGACGAGCCACGACGAAAGTTGGCGGCGCCTCGCGGGCCACTTTCGTGAGAGAAGGTAATTACGGGAGTGACCTACCTCAACGAAATTCCCCTTTGCCAATGAAGAAATCTACCCTCGAGTGATCCAGTTCTGCGTCTGCCTGTTTTAAAGAGGCTCGCGTATTCCGTGATACTCAAGAGTGGCGTAGAATCACTTTTCTCTTTACAATCGATTTTACGATTGGAATTAATTATTTAAGGATGTATAGGCTATACATATACTTAAACAATGCTGGCATGTTGAATTTGTTATTATAGATTTCTATTACTANCAAATAATCATACTTAACTCATTAAATATCGAAATTAGAAGAAAAGTACACTATTTTTAATTATAGGGAATGCGTTTTTCTAAGGTATATAAACTTTTGGTATTGGGACTATATAGCCAATACATCCTTAAGTAGACTATATCGTACATACATCGTAACGTATAGAATAAATAGAGTGAAATAGTGAAGAATTTTGAAATTCGTTTAAAATATCTGGGATGTAATTGTTGATCTAATCCCGAAATTGATAAATATTAATTTTACCGACAGTTAAGAACTTGTCAAAGGAATAGAAAAAACCGCGAGAGAAGATTTTAAAGAAGACGTGAAAACGAAATATTTCCGCGACGTAACTGGCGTGTTTCCTTCGATGGGAAATCCGTGAAAAGTCACGATTGAATTATCCTACTGTGCAGCCGCGTTGGAGGAGCAGTCGAAAGGAGGAAACAAGAAAAAGAGAGACGAAGGGAAGAGGGAGGGAGACCGACTGGCTGGCTGGCTGACAGGCGGGGGTGGAAGGCGAAACGAGAGAAAATAAAACGCATACCCAGCCATTGGCGCGACTTCGTTTCGTACATTTTATTCGAGCCAATTGGATTTATTTATGCGGCCAGCTGACAGACCGTGCTCCGACGTGGCAGCGGGGAGAAGGGGGTTGAAATGTCGCCCCCTCGTTGAAACGTGCAGCCGGTAAAGCAGTTCCGCTCCTTTTTTCCACCCCCACCACGCCCTTTCGCTGTCCGGACTCCGGCTAGCTTTATTGTATATTTAATTCCGCCCCCGCTGTTTATCCCCGTCCTTCGGCGGCGAACAAATATTTCAGCAGGCTGGTTGCCCGGGGAATCTTATTGCCTCACGAATTTACAGACATCTACGCTCGGCTCTATTATTGTGTGCGTAAACGAATATGGGTCAGTGTTTCATCTAATCGAATTTGTTTTTGGTTGCAATTGCACATAGCAAATAAAATTAAAAACACTACTATTAAGTTTTCTACTTTCGATTAAATAACTGAGTTACTAAAAAATTCTATATTCTTCAGTCAGGAAAAATTTTGTTCAATATTAATGGGTAATGTACGGCACACCCGGTGCAACCAGGGAAGGGAAGAAGCAAAAAGGTGAACGGATTTAATAAGTGTGCCGGCCGGGCAAGAAAAGTCAACGACTATAATAATTCGAGCTCGACGAGAAGAAAGAAAGGGGCACGTCGCATCAACTCGCAAGCAAGGGAGAAGGCGGTCTGCAGGCTTACTTCCGGTTCGTCTATTCGCATCACCATCCGGCACGAGCTGCATTCTCACGCTCATTTGCATACCCGGCTACACATCAATATTCAGGGAGGCTGGAAAACGGGGCCCGTTCCGTTTTGCATACTGGACCCCCCCCCCTCCCCTCCCCCCCCGTCGTCGTCGTCGTGCCATTCTTCTCTCTGCTCCTGAGAAAAAGATTCGTGCAGCCTCCGATTCACCGTTCAAACGTCTTCGCCAAATTGTGAATGAAACCGTACGCAATTGAATGACCCTTTACGAGCTGACAAAATTTAAAAGGACAAGCCATTAGTTCTGTGCAATACCTTTTAATAATTTTGTAATCGCACCTCGGTCTTCTTTTAGATACAAGTTCTGTAGCGTAAGGAAATTTACATTCAGCAAACTGGATCAAACGAGGATCAAATGCACCGAAATCTTGACCTAGAGACCCTTTTATACATTTTCATTCACTAGCCGAATTCCTGACGCGAAACACAATGTGTCTCACCCTTGACCCTAACCCAGGGAATTATCATAATCAAAGAATTGTACCCTGTGCGAAAATCCTTTCCCACATAAACATTCCTTCTCGAATCGACGCGATCATCAATCAGGCAGCGATCGCAACAGCTTTTAAATCCCATCCGCGTGTTCTTATCGAGTCAGAGGAATCCCCATTCACCCCTTCGTCCTCGACAAAAGAACGACCGAGTTACGTAATTTAAATAATTCCGGGATGACCCTGACACCGGTTCGGCTGACCTGCAGAGGCCGCCGATTACAATCACAATGCCTGGCGTCGAGTTCTCAGGGTAAGACAGGTAGCTGGCCCTGCCCGTGTGACAGATTCGCCAAACTTGATTGCATGGGAGATTGGGTTTCAAGATCTCAATGCTCGTAAAATTTAAATAGCTTCTACGTGATATAAAATGAAAATTCCTACAGATTCTCTTCACAGATTTTTATAGAACTTTAAAAGCAGAAATCAATGCAGTTCTTAGAAATGCTTATTTCATACACGAATTCGCTACATCAGTGCTGAAGAACTTCGTTGACCCAGAATCAGAGGAAAGAGGGTTGATCCTCTCCTCTTCAAATAGAAGTTGGCAGACATTTAACCGGATCGAACGATTAGCATAAAAGCGTATGGTAGATGCGTGTCTATATCGTTTCATTCGTTGGACCGAAAATCCCACGGTCAGAATCGTTTTCCACTTGCCGTGGATCGAACAGATCAGTAAACTGGGCCGCGATGGGTTGAGGAATCTCAAAGGAGATTCGTGAGAATTTCGACAGACGGAAAGAATCGAAGAGGATTGTTGAACGAATGGACGAGTCACGGTTCTTATTGATGTACCTCGTGAATTATTAATAAGGAGATTGAGTATTGTGTCGATTTTTCTAAACAGACAATATCATTGTATCTTGTGGACATAGTGACGTAATGCTTTATATATTAATTTTAATTCTTTAATCAAGTCAAACAGGTTTATAGAAAATGAATTAAATCCTGCTGACAATAAATTATTTAGAAATGATGATTCTATTCGATGAATGACGGTAGATGCGAAATGGCCAGAATTCTCTGTTCAGACTGCATGAAGCATCTTTAATCATCCATCAGCCTGTTTCTCTCTTTTCTAAGAACAATGGGCTACATATAATGTATCGGCGGGTGATCGATGGCAATCGAACGGTCGGATGAAATCCGCGGGGATGGAAATTTGCATGCCACGATACTGGAAACCAAACACACTCGAAGGGTTGAAGGCTGGGCATGCAGATGAGCCGACGCGGCGCGACGCGGCCGCCCTCGAAAAGCGGATGTTGGCAGTCTGCGCTCACTACTACCGGTAGACAATAGGGGCCAGTGCCATTATGTCCGTCGAATCCTAAAACCCCATAGAGTCGTTCTTCTCTGTCTATTATCCGGCCGGTGGCAGGCCACATTGTGTATCCGGTCTGCCAACGGGACCCCGGCCATTGTCGGGCCACCTAATTATTCGCAAATCTTCCGCTCGTTGCCGGTACACACCACCTCCCCGCGCGACCCACCCCCTCTCGACCCTCTCCCTGTTCCCTCGTTTACTCTTTCAACGGTGGTGGTTGCCTCTTGGCATCGCGAAATTCCAAGTCTTTGCCTCGGAGGCTCGTTGTCCCCGCCCGGTGTAATTCAGCTCTAGTTCGAACCGATTGTCTACGCGAGGGGGAAGTCGAGATTTCGCGTCTGCCCGCAATTAAATCGTTCGCCGTCCTTTCTTTCGAACCCCTTTCGGTTCCTTTCGGACGATCTGATACCAGGCGGCTTTTAACGCTCATTCTTTTAATCTTGAGTCAGTTTTTAACATTGTGGACTGATGAGTACTCACCTCGGGATCAGTTGAGTCTGGACGATTATAGGCGTAGAGGGGCGCAAGCTTGTCGTAAAGATTCACGCGGTCGTACAGGGTCTTGAACGGATTCTTGGTACTGAAGAAATCCAAATCGACGTCCAGAATGTATGGCGTGTTACGCTCGGGTAGATATTGTCGCAAAGCCGAGCTGACGGCAGTGAAGTCGTCTTTCTGTAACAAATACAATATCTGCTTGTGACAACGCATACTAAATCAATTAATATTTTATTCCGAAGATGAAGATATAAGAATGTAACACGAGGTAAAAACGTCACTCTATATATTGTTCGAAAACGAGGCTAAACGATGTAGGAAAAAAGAGAGAGAGAGAGAGAAAGAGGACGGGAAAGGGTGGGCTTTTTGTGACGCGCAAAAAACAATGACTGCGCTCGAATTAATCCTGTTAGAATTGATACTCGGGGTCCCGGTCGGGATCGCAATTTGCATGCGTTCACAACAATGAAAGGGGGAGAGAGGGGCTCGCGATCGTCGATCGAGGGGGTGGAGGCGAAGCTCGAAAGCAAAGCCAACAAGGATCGCCGCTATGGTCAGCGGCTCTCAAACGTGTAATACGTCCATACGGCGGAGCCCACTCGGCCGGAGGGACTGACCGGCTGTCGCGTTTTTTCCATCGCCGCGCGAGCCTCTCGAGTGTCCCTGCGTAATGAAATTTAATTACCGCCTCCCGCTTTTAATTTCGTTTCGAGCCTCGCCGCGATTCGAGACGGTGATATTTAAAAAAGGATTTTCAATATTGATTTTATCATTTTTCTCGTTATCCCGTCGATTCTTTTTTTCCGTTCCGGTGCGCGTTGCCATTTAGTTGTAAATATCGGGTTACGCGCCGGTGTCCGATTTATCGGTTTTCGTGCACGTCGAAATGCGCGTATGAAATGTTGCGGGAATACGATATTTTTTTTTTTTTACCTGTTTGTGGAATTCGGTTCTCTTACATTTTATTTTGTGAACTCGGTTTTGTACCTGCAACGGCGCGTAACAATCCAAAAAACGAAAGATGATACGCGAAACGCGTTTGGTAAAACTATAACACCGTGCGAAAATACAGACGTATCGCGAAATAGATGTTCAATTTGTACATTCGTACGTATGAAAATTTAAAGCACGGTTAAATCTCGCAGACCCTGGAGGGGTTAACTGTCCTCGTAAAGGGTGACGAGCATTCATTTGCATACGTCTAGCATTCTTCTCATCCTCCTTCCAATCGCGACGAGCAATAAGAGACAGAGAGAGAGAGAGAGAGAGAGAGAGAGAAAGAGTAGAAAAGAGCCGATTGAAAAAAAAGGTGCGCGCGTTTGTCTCCTTTTTTCCTCTCCGTCCTTTTTGCACGGTGTGCCCCCGTGACAAAGCACCGTTCTTTTACGCTCAACTATAACCAAAGCTCTTTTCGACCGAAACCCGTTTCCCGTTTATGCGAACCGAACAGAACCGGCCAGGGTGATCCTGACTGGAATCGAGAAAGGACAAAGGACTCTTGCGGAATCCCCGTTGCGCTTAAACCAACAGTTCCCTTCGTGCTACACACGTACGTTCGACGTCCACGCGCAGAGATCCTTAAACGTTTTTAGCAACATTCTTAAAAAAAAACGTTTGATTAAAACATCTTATGTATTGAGATACTTTTGTATAAATGCAAATACAATAACTCGTCTGTATCGTATATTTTTTTTATTGATAATTTAATTTGGAAGAGTCTGTAAGTGCGAGATTAATATCTGTACAAAAAGGGTTTTTAATCTCCATACAATTTATTCCACATCTGTATTTCAATCTAGCTACTGACTTTAATCATATATACAATGAGTTAATTAAATCAGCAGCCGTATAAGATAACTGATTGTTCATTTGTTTCATTGAAATATGATTTACACGAATGTTTCATTTAACTCTGAACATTTTAACAAATCGCAGGCCATTTTTATGACGTTTACCAATAAAATCAATAAATGTCCGTTTAATCCTTATTGATTTACATATTCCATAAAATTGAGCTAACACGAGATAAATGATTTGAGGACTCGTCCAATGATAAGTTTTATTAATTCCTGATTAAAACGAGTACTGACGCGACGGCGGCGTACCGGCACACGTACACACATGTACGTTCAGCCAGTTACTGGTTGAAATCATTAAACGCGCGATTGCGCAACAGCTGTAATCCCCTATCTTTGTCACACGATTTTTCATTTGCATCGGCCGCGTTATCTCGCGACCACGCGCGAGCGTGACGAGCATCGCGCGGTGTTGTTCTGCAAATACGTAGTATTCGATTCTAATGACTCACCCACGATACGCCGCGCCGCGTCGGGAGTTAAGCAATTCACTGCAGGCGATGTATCATCGCCATCGCCGGTCTCTGTCCCGGGAAACAAAGAAAACACGGCCTGATTGCGACAACGATTTGCCTATGAGTCGTACACTGCCAAACAAAGACCATTAAAATTGACTTAAGTTCCCAAACTTCGATATCAGAAAAATCAACGAAACATTCATCGATTCTTATATACATATATTAATAGAAAATCAATCAATTGACTTCCTGTTTGGAAATTGCGAGTAAATTGTTGTTCAGCGTCTAGAAGATTGTTTATTAAGAATAAAGATCTGGATCACGATTTGGTTCAAAGGTCACGCGCATGCACGAAGGAGGTTGGTTGCGCATCTGCTCGATGGAATTCGAGGATTGCGCAAACCGAGTCTTTATCGCTGAACTGGAGCAGTAAAGAAGGGAAAAATTAATCACGGCGTTCTAGCAGACGCTTAGAGAGGCGTCCGTTGTGCCATGCCGCCGTGATCGAGATACTGTGTGTTTAATTGAAGAAAGCGTTTAACTCACTGACGTTTTAACGATCCTGGTTAAATGATACCGCTCCGTTTCTCGGAAATCGACTATTAATTACTGGCAGTATTCATTTCGTTTGATGAAAACTGGGTTCGCCTGACGTGTACAAGTTATCCAATATAAAGTCGTTCTTATGATACTTTCAGAAGAATATAATTTAAATAATCTCCGAATGCCAATCGAGTTCTACAAGAAACTATCGATTATCGCCACGTAAGAGCAATTAACATTATTTGTGCTGTTATCGAAAAAGTTAGACTGGCAATTTTACAATTTGCACTAACTGACTCAATTCTTATCCAAGTTAAATATGATATGCTCACTTTAAATATTTCATGTCAAATGTTCGAAAATAAGGAATAAACCGAAAATGTTGAAATGCTGAAAATGAAAAACAAAAATGTTACTGTTTAAATGTAAAATAAATCTTGATCTTTGTTTCTTTCCTTAATTCGTTCTGCACAAAAATTCAGTCTATTTATCCCTGTTAATCGCAATCTAAATAATTCCGTGAATCACTTCTGCATTGAAAATTTTTGTCTGACACTACGATTATGACAAACTGGATAGTGGCCGTTTATAAATGTGCGAGGATGCCCTGTTACGATTTCGACACCTCGACGCTCATCTCGAATCGCGATTTCCCGCGCAGCTCTCTCGGTTTCTTTGAGGCCTGGAACCGCGGAGTCGCACCGCTAATTAAATCGTCCAGGCGTCCGATCCCGAACGCTCCAATTAAACGGTGAAATTACAGTGTTTGCGTAATTAAGCCGGCGCTACCTTTCTACGGTACGAGGGATCGACCGACGAAATAAAACCGATCCGGTCATCGAACGTTCCCAATTAAGATCGAAACCGGCGCGCGTTTCTTTGAATCCCAAACTATATACAGTAAATAACAAAAGAAACGCCCTAGCTAATATGTAATTTTTATTGAACGATGGAAACGTTGCACGGTACGATTAATTCTCATCGATATATGATATTAACACAAATAAAAAAATTCTGTTTTTCTCATAATTTTCGTATCACAGGAACGTAATTGACCAAGGGAACAATTAAGTGTTAAAACGAAACGAATACCATGTCGCGTTATTGGTCACTTTTAATGGAATTTACCACTTAAAACGTTGGTAACGTTGTTGTGCAAGACAAGGGACAGGCAAAGAGAATAAAGGAAGAAACAAAAAGGATCGGGGGTATAAAAGGCGTATCTACATTCGCAGCAGTAGCAGTAGCAGCAGCAGCAGCGGAGCGCGGCCGGTTTATTTGGCCGGCGAGTGCGTTAACAAGTGTTTTCCAAAGGTTTAAAAGGCGCCAAGGCGTTTCGACCGGTCCGAACCTTTATAACATCGGCGTGGTGACTCATTGGAAACGCAGCCGGTTTTCGTGCTCGCCAAACATCCGATCGCCGGCGATTTCGCTGCGCGGTTAAGACGTTCGATTCGATACGGCCTGATGGAATCGTCTCCCTCGCCCCGCCGACCCTCAGGCGCCGTGTTACCGCTTTATTTCTTGCCTGCGACGAACACGCTTTCGAACTTATCGAACGAGATCTCTTAAAACATTTTTGCGATACGAGTTTTTAAATTGTTATCAAAGCTCCTGTGCTGCTAGCGAGCACCTACCTAATGGTGCAGTTTTAAAATCCAAGAGATTATTAAAGACAGCCTTATAGAACTTCATGTCGCACGAAAAAGTCGGCAATTTTTCACGCCGTTTAAAATATATTGCCACCGAAATAAGAAATAAAAAGCAAAACACTCGTCGGTACTGAATAGTTGCCAGATAAAAGAAAGGTCGTATGCAATTCCCTTTTAACTCCACTCGTTAAGGAATAATTGGCGATGGACAAAATAATTAATCGATTACTCCTAAAGTATTCGAAATAGAAAAAAATAGTGTAAGACCATTCTTGTAGGTAACAGTAGTATCGACAACTTTTATTTGAAGCATTTTTCGAAATTTTGAGAAAAAAATTTTGATTTTTCATTTCCTGTCCCAATGATTATGACTACTGGCACTCTTTTGTAGTATCTCCTCGGTGTCCAAAAGGAATTGCAAACTTGTTTTATTCATATACTGTAGCAATTTCATATTTGCATGAATACAAAGGAATTACCTAACTGGCCTTTGTTCTAGTCGAGATAAAATAGGCAGTATAATTACTCACTTCGGGAATTAATCATCGCTGTAACAAAGCAGTATTCCGAGCACGTGTACGATTACTAACAATGTTAACAATCGTAACTCAAACGATTAATCTTGTTTACAAAATGAGAAAACAGATGGAACAAGTAAATGATGCTGC